TTGTAGGTATACTTACAAGATATTACAGGACAATTAAATATCACAGACTACTACAGCAGCTCTACCTTATCGGTATATTTTAACATAATACAAATTACCCAAATAATATTCAATCATATTCATTATTCAAGAATATTCAATGTTTTTTTTCTTCGTGAACTAAGAAGTAATAATTTCCTATCCTATTTCACATAGCTAACCTTTTGTTAGCTGATGATTATCTTGAAATCCCCTTGGTAATGGACTGCGGAAGTTAGTAGCGCAACAGCGTCCGTTGCCCTCCGTATTCTAATATACTTACTAAATCTGTATCACGTCTAAAGTTGCCGGCAATGTAAATTTAATCATCACTTAACCATTTGTGCTGTTGTTAATGAAATAAGACAGAAATAAATGTATGTTTTCAGCGTCTCGTGAAAATCAAGACCGTAATAATAAAAGCTTATTTCTCAAAACATCAGATTCAAACACAAAAACATATTTTTTTTAGGTTAACTGTACACAAAATGTTATCTCGTGAATGGTATTGAAAAGTATCAACCGTTTTCCTTGACTGTATGATAAAATCGCCTTCGTTGTCTAAAACGTATCAATGACAGTAAATTTTGGTAAAAATGGTCTTTTGTAAAGGTGAATAAAACACGTCGCCCATTTGAGGCCTGATTTTGCGAACATTTTGCCTCATATTATGGTTTTAAAAACGCGATTATATCAATCTTGTAATTTAAACAGGACTTCAACCTTTTTAATAACAAAACTCCTATTATTTTATCAACGATTGTAGCAAAATGTGGTCTTCCTTATCAGGTATACGCAACAATTGTGACTCGGCCTACTTCCGTTGATCGCTAACAACAGGTTAGAGGGCGCCGTATGTTAGCACATCGGCATCGGCAGATAAACACACCAGACGCGACCCAAATGGCGGAGGTCTCGGTCACTGTGCCTATGTTTAGTGGCGGCACGTGACACATGTTGTTCCACGCTTCAAGACAATATGCTCGACTGAATGATATTATGTTAGATGTGTATCTGCAACCGATTTTTATTTATTACCACCACATTTAATAATTTTAAAATGTTCCTTTAGTGTTTTATGACGGATTACTGCAGGGCTCGGCGCTTTCCCCGCTTCTTTTCAAGCTGTATATTTATGACCTACCCGAAACCATTGTCCAGGAATTTATATTTGTGGATGACATCGCGTTGGTGGCTCGAAGTCGGAATTTTAAGGAAGCTGAGGAAGTCCTCGCGACAGATTTAAAAACTATGTCCGGTTTCTTCTTCTCCTGGAGGCATAAGCCTCCAGCCACTAGTATAAACTAGTTCCAGCAAATCACAGCTCTCTTGTTTCCATCTTAGTACAAACATGCCAAATACAAACCGACTGTTGAATTCCACGGTGAATGTTTCAAATACAATCCTTGTTCGAAATAACCCGGCGGCGTCACGTTAGATAGATCCCTAGAGACCAATTACTACTGTTGGTTCGCACATGTCAATTGGTACAAAAAAAAATATATTTTAATTTATGGTAATCTTATAATTGTTACAGTTCCTTGCTGTTAACGAACCTTGGTTTTGTTTCAAAATCAAGTAAGTTTTTAAAAACGTTTTTCTTTCGTTTTCTGGAAACAACTGATCATAAGAACCACATTACTTTGTCTCTTTTCCTTGCTGTCGTTGACAACAATGGCAAGTGTCAGCAACGACATTCTCACATGTTCGTCGTTAGTCATGGCAGTTTGAAACTGTGAATTCTCGGAACAGAATGCGTTTTACTCACAACATCGAGTCAACGACCTAGGCGAGGCTTTCGTGTCATTTCACTAGCAGACGGTTCGGCGACAAGTTCGCTATGGCGTAAAACGACCTTTAGGGGATTGGATTACCTCAGCTAGAGCGAGGGCAATCCAACCTTGCCAAAGTTTCTGAAAAAGCAATTGCTAACTTAAAAGATGCTATTAAACGAATAAACCAGATTAGATGGATGAATTAAGAGGTGACAGAAATAATGAAGAGGGACAAAAAAAAACAGTTTAATACCCACAGAAGGCATTGATTCTGAGGTTTTTGAAAACCAATCTGATTTTTAAATTTCTATCCTTACCCTTGGATTCCATGATTTAATGGAAGCAGCTATATTTACCACACTGGAAATATGAACTAAGCTTAGGTGTTTCCATTTCTATTAGGATATGTTTATTAACACATTTCTTTCTAGCCAAAGTGATTTCTCTTAAAGGCTGATTTAATCACGTATACTTAAATAATCATCAAGTAACTAATAGTATTTTATCTAAACTTTAATTAATTAAACTTGTAATAAATACATTGGAGTATGTAGACAAAAACATTAGCCATTAAGAGTACTATTGAAAAAACTTAAATTGTAACATTAATACTTAAGTAATAGGTTGCAAATGAAGTTGTTAAAGTTAAAAAAAAAAAAGTTAAAAATGTTGTTAAGTAGGTAACTATTTACCTAATTTGTGTACCGTAAGACGCAAAAACCACTATACTGTTTACTTAATTATTAAGAAAATTAGTCACCTTCCTATCTTAAATATAAATGTTACGCTCAAAGATCGAAAACGCTCAGTCAGCGGAAAAATAGCTCACAACGCGTTGTGGTCACAGTAAAATATCCACATGGCGAAATTCGTGTTATGGCTGACATGCTATTCGATCTCAACACGTTGTGGCAATGAAGAAAAGCCATGACGCGTTCTGAGCATTCATTATTTTAACCATATCACGACGGACAGGTTGTAACTTGTCAATGTCGGCTCGGCGGGTGCAAAGACGCATTGAAACATCAGTTTTATTCATTTATTTTATGTTTATGAGAGTAAATTTTAATGTCAGCGCTAATTATGACGAATAAAAAAGAAGTGTTTTACGATAAATTACGTGAGTTTGTGGAAACATGCACTGATCGCTATCGCTAAATCAAGTCTAGAGGAACAGGCAAACAAAATGGTTTCACTGTCTAATTCAAAATTCCCTGTGTTAAATTTGGTTCCAACGTTTTAGTTACAGTTCCTGAAGTTGATAGAGGATGTGCAGCACCCAGGAATGTTATGCGTGTTGTTATGAGCATTAATCCATCAGCTCTCTACCAGGTAGGAAACAAGAAAGGTACATTCTATAGACTTTATGCACGTAATGTGTTTACACTTTCTGTAACCAACTTTATTAACATTCGTGATGTGCCCTCAACTTCGTCATTAACACTTCGCTCAGCATCATGTTATCATCTGAAAGTAAGCAAGGGTTTATAATGTGCCACTGCAAAAGATACTGTATTGATAAAAAGTGCAAGTGTCGCTCCAAGAATATAAAATGCAAACCAAAATGCCACAGTAATAGTTATTGTAAAAATAAATAGCAATCAAATACTTATTTTTGACAATTATAGTAATTTCTAATATAACTAATTGATTTAAGTACATTGTTGTTGTTTATTGGTGATCAATAAACATTTATGTTTGTGTTAAATATCTTTATTACTTGAAAGAATTTTAAATTGTATAAAAAACCCTAATTATTTTAAGTGAATTATAAGTAACTAGCGGTCCGCCCTCGCTTCGCTTCGGTATAGAGTTGAAGTGTAAACTACAGTTTTTGTTCTCAGGCTTGTATTATACACAATGACATTCATCTATGATTCTTCTTATACCTGCATGCAAAGTCTCAGCCCGATCGGTTTAAAATTGACAAAGTTTCATACAAACTTTCATTCTCTATTTTATCCCCTTGGGGGTAGAATTGATCAAAATCCTTTCTTAGCGGATGCCTACGTCATAACATCTACCTGTATGCCAAATTTCAGCCCGCTCCGTCCAGTGGTTTGGGCTGTGCATTGACAGATCACTATGTCAGCCAGTCACCTTTGAGTTTTATTTATATAGATTTACATATGATTAATATTTTGTGTTCAGTAATTATTACTTAATACGTTGATTTCTTTAAATATAAAGTAATCTCAATTAATAACAAATATCGTTTTATTTTAATTTATATAATAATATAACATATTTAATAATGACAAAAATATTATGCAGTGATTTTATAAAATAAAAAATATTTCCTAAAGACATCTACCAAAACGTTTCCAGCCTAGGCCTAGTAGGATCCATATCGGAAAGTAGTGTGCGTCGTAATCAAATAATATTCCATACGCGTCACGGCGTCATGGCTTTTCTTCATCGCCACAACGCGTTGAGATCGAATAGCATGTCAGCCACGAAACGAATTTTGCTATTTGGTCTTTCTGTGATTGCCACACTGCGTCGTGCGCGTTTTCATGCGAGCCATAACACGAATTTCGCCATGTGGATGTTTTACTATGACCACAACGCGTTGTGAGCTATTTTTCCGCTCACTGAGCGTTTTCGATCTTTGAGCGTAACATATACATCGATAGATATTGAAATAGACTTATATTTAAAAAGCTTTGGCGGAATAAAAAAAGTCTTATACCGTTAGGTTAAGTTCTGTGTGTACTCAAATATTAGGTGTCTTGGTAATGTCATTTTTAAATTAAATTAACATTCCTAGTGGACACACGGGAAGGCAAATATTCGATCCGTAATCGTATCGCTATCGTCAAATGTTGTGTGTCGGAAGAAGCCAGTTTGTTCTTACGTCCGGTAAGGGCGCTGCTTAGTTTTCATAGAAACTTTGAAGATGCGCGACGGTTACGAAGCTGTCAAAGTTTGTGCTTGGGCCTCTGGACCGAGTTGATTTTTTTCTAGCATAAATTTTCTTTATGGTGTTAAATTATTTACGTACAATTCCACCTACAATAAGTTGTTCGGCGACCCGGTCGAGTCCCTCCCGGAACTCGTCGTGGAGTCCCACCAGATATAGGGTGTCGAGACCGTCGACGATGGTGATACCCAGGTTGCCGCCTTCAAACACGCTGGACAGATGTGCTCGTTGCGAGAGCGGTTTCAGATAACTTTAAACTTCTAGATTAAGTGTCTAGTACTTACAACTTCACCTATGTGCAGGTGTTCGGCGACCCAGTCGCGTCCCTCCCTGAACTCGTCGTGGAGTCCCATCAGGTACAGGGTGTCGAGGCCGTCTACGATAGTGACGCCCAGGTCGCCACCCCCGAACACGCTGGACAGATGTGCTCGCTTCGAAAGCGGCTTCAACTCGTTCTTTCCCCAAGCGTACAGCTTGTAGTTGTTCCACGCGTGACGCATCATCTGCAAACAAGAGAGGAGTATTATGTCAGCAGCGGAATGATTGATCGTTTTCAATTATAGATAAGGTTCTCTTAAGACTACTTTATTGGACCACTTGGTGTCTCTGAACTGTAAATTGATCAATATTATGGAATTAATTGATTTCCATGCTAGAGGATATTTCAAAGTAAGACTTAGTTTTTTTTGTATTTACAATTCGCTAAGTAATTTTGAGTTGTACCACAGAGCTAGTTAAAGTTAAATTTTACTACATATAACTTTAACTGGCCTCGCTTGGACAGTTATTGTCACTGTCGAATTATGACCTCATTTTGACTTCATCAAATGTACAGTTAAGGTAAGTTATTGCAATTCACTCTTAAACTTTTTATTGTTAATTATTCGTTCACAATCACACTGAAAATATTTACTGAACGTTAAATATTATCTGATAAATGAAGAAAATATTATACATTTTAACATGTGTTAATGTAGCAAACCAAAGGGAACTAAATGAGTTTTTTCTAAAGGGAACCATACTGAGCTTCCACGTTTCTCATTTGCTGGAGGCAGCTGTTTTTTTTTTCATGTAGCTCAAACAAAATATTTTTCATAAAAACCTGTGGCCATATCCGCGTCTCAAAGGCGAGTGTATTTAAAAGCGTGCCCGCAAAGTCTTCGACGGGCAAGTTTTAATCTGGCCCGGCCGCGGAGACGGGACACTAATGAAAGGATATCGGACTTTCGCCAGGGCCATTAATTATTATTAGGTCCCGAGAACTTCGCGAGTAAATCTCCAATGACTTGGAAAAACTGAACATTTTACCAATTACACTCTGAACGAAACGAGACGGGATGAAAATAATTACCTACATTTGTAAACACCGCGACTGGGTTTAGCAAGAACTTTTCTTAACTCCTTGCTGTCAAACTTACAAAAGTTGATTGAAGAATGAACTTTCTAGGTTTAATAAATAATTTGAATGGAAGACGAAGTCATCCTACTCATTTTCTAAATAACAAATATATGGGGGTGTTTTTGTACGAAAATTATTTTAATATGAGTAACAGTAATTGAAAATTTAATTAGTCGCTGATATAATTTTAACTCCGTACAATGAAAGTCGGAGACAAGGGCTGCTTTAAACACATACTTAAAATATACCTGAACAATATGATTGCGCTTGTCAGCGTTATCCGTGACTTGATCGAGTGGCAACGAATTGGTATCAGTCAACTCGTTGGCTTGCGAGTCAGCTGAACGGACCGCGCGGGCCATGCGGTCCGCCGGATGGACCCGCATCACCCTGTTAGACTGTTCAGCAATCATCATCAGGGTCAAAAACACCGCAGCGGTAGACACGATCGCTGTTCCCAAACGTATCAGTTTCCGCATTCTTGCACCGAAATCACACACGAAGTACGCAAATTGATCCGGTAAAACGGTACCTCCGAATTTTTTTGACCGTGGTTTTATCAAATATTTTTTTGTTACGAACTGGAACGCGTGTTATCCGCACGACTATCTAACGCACTGTGATTGATAAACGGAGAGCGGCGTCAACACGCGCCTCGATCCTATTGACTAATGAGTACCTTGTTGTTGATAAGATTCCAATTAAGTTTACAAATATAAAACAGTGGCAGTGTATTCATTCAAACGGGGAAATCATCTATTATGTCAATATTTATAATTTCAATTCAATGTGTTGTAATACAAAGCATCTAAGCTTTTTGATGAAAAAAGATACGGCCGTTTATCTGTCTGTCTGTCTGTCACGGCCCTTTATCTCGGGAACAAAAAAAAATGTACGGAACCCAGAGTGGGGCGAGTTCGATTCGCACTTGTCCGGATTTTTTTCGCAAGTTTTCTTACGGAAAAAATGAGAAAGTTTGAAGAAAAAATGGGTGCGTGTACTTATGTAGGCGCGTGAGAAGTTATCCTTCTTTGGTATCGTTTAAAATTAGTTTTTAATTGCATGCAAATAATTAATTACAATAAATTAATAAAAAGTCTGGAAAAGGACACAGTCAATAAAGTTCAGTTTTAATTTGAAAAAATAAATAAATAATCAAAATATTCAATTAAAATCGCTACTGAATATAATTTATTAGAACATGTGTGATTTGCACTTATATGAAACTCAAACACGTATTCCGAATATACAAACTAGAAATATGTGGATAAATATTATAAATATGAATACCTATAACTGTTACTTGTAAAGATGTGGTTTTTGGTTCTACTACACCAATGGTCAAGAGATGGCGCTGTAGTCTCCTGAATCGCGCTTTGGTTCCGTTGTTCCAGATTAATAAATACTTTTTGTTACTTTATTACAAAAAATAAAGATGTGATTTTTGGTTCTACTACACCAATGGTCAAGAGATGGCGCTGTAGTCTCCTGAATCGCGCTTTGGTTCCGTTGTTCCAGATTAATAAATACTTTTGATAGGCCTTCACAATGCAGTCGTTAGCACCCACAAAATAGATATTCTATTTCTATTTTGTTGGTAGGGTAGATTTTCTTAATGTGCGGTAAACACAAAAGTAACAGCATGAAGTTGGTCGCTTTTATGCTGTTAATTTTTTGTGTTACAGTGATGCGCGCGCATCTTAAAATTTCACTCTCATCAATTTTTCATAACGCGCCTAAAGAAGTATAACTTCAAAAAGAAAACTTCCAACTCTACCCGACAGGATAGCTCTGCAGTAGGGTTTTTTCAGTTTCTTCACTCCCGGGCTCTTGAATCGAGCCACCTTACATACCCGGGCCTAAAAGCTACAATGATACACAAAAAATATACAATATAACAAAAAACTTTTTATGCATTTTTAATGCTGGCATATTTCATCGTCTTTCCCGAATGTATTGTTCCAAATTTGAATTTTAGAATTTAAAATAAAGAACAAAAGCCTAGCTTGGTCACTGATTTGAATAAAATAATGACTGTTGAAAGTTGCTTTTGAAGCAATTTAATGTCGATTTGGTTTGAATTTTCGCAATTGTTGTAAACCAAAGTTTAGTTTAGTTATTTTTATATAATTTGAACCGTTTTTGGCTATAAAATTATGGATACTTCACCTGAAGTAGCCGCGCAAGCTGTAGCACTTCTTTAATCTGGGCTAAGTCAGCGAGATGTGAGTTCACAACTTCACATAAGTCGTTCCGCTGTTCAAAGAGTGTACCACCGATACCTGGAGACTGGCGGCTTCGTTCGCCGAACAGGAGGACCTCGTTACCGAGTGACAACGGCGAGACAAGATCAATACATTGTCACTACTAGCTTACGAAATCGACGCCTTAACTCTGTTCAGATACAAGAACAGCTCAGGGACTTTCACGGAGTGGCTGTAAGTGCTCGGACCGTTAGAAGGCGTCTCAATGGACGTGGTTTAAAGCCCCATAAGCCAGCCAATGGACCCAAATTGACACGAGCACACCGAATAGCCCGTCTAGAGTTTGCGCGCGAACATCTAAATTGGACTCGACATCAATGGAGCCAGGTTCTCTTTACAGATGAGTCCAAGATAATGCTATACGGTAATGACGGAAGGAGTAAAGTGTACCGAAGACAGAACGAGCGTTTCGCGCAATGGTGTATTGACGAGAAAGTGAGTTTTGGTGGAGGATCATGGACAGTCTGGGGAGGAATCTCTATGGAAGGCAAAACTGAGCTAGAGGTAGTGACGGGACCACGACTGCCACCCCTAGATGGCAATAGATACATTCGCCAATGTTTAGAGAACCACGTGATGCCATATGCTGGATTTATTGGCCAAGATTTCGTTTTAATAGATGATAATGCAAAGGCCCATACTGCGGGAATCGTCAGGGAGTACTTAAATGACATTGGTATCACTGTTATGAGATGGCGAGCGCGAAGTCCTGATATGAATCCTATAGAGCATCTATGGGATGAGCTGAAGAGGTGTGTTCGAGCTCATCAGCCTGCCCCGCAAACCATGCAGGAGCTCAAAAATGTAATTTTGGAAGAATGGGAGGACATTCTTCAACATGTCATAACGACATTGATTAATTCTATGCCAAACCGTATGAGAGCTGTCATAAATGCACTGGGAGGCAATACAAGTTACTAAATAAACATTTCTTTTCATGTAAAACATGTCTTTATTTAAAAATCGATTAGATTTTTTTCCTTGAAAATAGCAAATATGGACTTGATTCAACGTAACTAGACTTTTTTAATAAACTGTAGTTCAAATTTAGAACAGTGCCACTCTAAATGAAGGATGAGTATACCAGCTCCAAAACTGTATCAAAACATTTTCCTTCTACATACATCTTTTATAAGTTACAGTACTCCAAACCAAAAAAATCAAGGTGGCTCGATTTAGGTGTCCGGGAGTGTATATTTTATCGTGCAGGATTTTCGTCTATCGGGTCCACTAGGTTTCAAAGTCAAAGTCAAACATTTATTGCATATGATAATTGTACAAAAGATGGTAGGTATACAGGGCGTCCCACGGCTACCTCACACGGAGGGAAAATATATTAAATATTGGAGATAGGATATTTTACTGAAAGAAGGCATCATTTTATTTTTAATAATAAGTAGAACTGCATTCACAGTTTTTTGAAGTTATACTTCTTTAGGCGCGTTATGAAAAAATGATGAGAGTGAAATTTTAAGATGCGCGCGCATCACTGTAACACAAATTTTTAACAGCATGAAGTTGGTCGCTTTAGCGATTATGCGTTATCATGCGTTACTTTTGTGTTTACCGCACATTAAGAAAATCTACCAACAAAATAGAAATAGAATCTCTATTTAGTGGGTGCTAACGACTGCATTGTGAAGGCCTATCAAAAGTATTTATTAATCTGGAACAACGGAACCAAAGTACGATTCAGGAGACTACAGCGCCAATCTCTTAACCATTGGTGTAGTAGAACCAAAAACCACATCTTTATTTTTTGTAATAAAGTAACAGTTATAGGTATTCATATTTATAATATTTATCCACATGTTTCTAGTTTGTATATTCGGAATACGTG